TTGAAAGTATATATCTACACTACGCCTGCGATCTTAGTCGCTATGCTCGGTCGGTTATCCAGAGTTTGAGCCACAAACCTTTCCTACTGATGGTGAACTTCCGTTCCGTTAAGGTCTCAATTAGGAGGAAAATTAACTGAAATTTAGACTAGACGAAGGCGGAGGTGATAACCACGGTCAACTATTCGTTACTCAGCGTTCTTACATTTCGTCGCTACTTACCGCTAGAGGCAGACAATCTGCATATAGAGATGAGCAAGAAAAAGTACATTCCATTTTTCCAGTTAATTATGCAGCTTTATCACTGGCTCTCATCGCCACTGAAGTTATATAGGCTTTCACCAAAGAAAGGGCTATACAGTTTCAACAAGCTATTTGATGAACTGTACAAACGGAAAAGTGAGGTATAGACTTATGGCTATATCTTACACAAACTTCCACATATCGCTTTCCAATTAAAAATTCTCTATACTGTTTATTTTACCACAGGTGCCGATACGCGTAAGGTGGTGCGGTAACATTTAGATGTTACAATTCAAGCGGCACCCAGCCGCTACAGATAACCGTGTACGTCGTTCCCGCACTACGGGTTGAGTAGTCGTTGCCCACAGTAGTTCATTCGCGCATACATCAGAGCAAAACTGTCTATAGCAGGCATATGAATTCTCGTCTTTATTTTTTCAGTGCGGGTACGCCTACTCTGCTCGCTACCAGCTCGATCATTCTAGAATTTATTATATGCTAGTTTTATAATTGTCTGCTTCTGCTGCCTCTCATCTTACACTTTTCAGTGATTTTTTAAATCGCCAACACTAATCAATGCTGGTTAATCGATATTAATTGATTTTGGAAAATGTTAACAAAATCTATTCACTAACGCGCTGTAGCTGGTTACGAACAATACAACTATATTATACCGGTTCTGCTACGCCGCCACTCCGAAGGAATTATTGATCAGGTAAATGACTATATTCATCAACAACATATTGTATTATAATATATTATATATACATATTAATAATTATAATATTGTATATGCATATTATATATATATATATATATCATACAACGTCATTTTTGCATTTCGAGCAGACTCGGACTGACCTGATATTCGTATGTTTAACGTAGCCGGCGGGTACCGTGTACGTCGCATAGATGCGTAAACACGCAGGTCCCATTATGCGCGTCAGGAGTGAACGCATAAACACATACGAAGTACTATTCGACAACCGAAGAGCGCTTGCATGACGATTATCGGCATACGTACATTTCAAAGCCGAGTAGTAACATAGCGCCACACATGTTGATAGATTCATTCACGCGCCTTTCACGTTGGCCCATTACAGGTGAAAGTTGCTGAACGTGTATGCAGCTAGTGACTGCACCATATAATTCTATCAATTGCGCCTATTCTGGCATCGTGCCAGACCAAGGCTTGGTTAGGTCGACACAGTAGAAGTGCTCCGTCTATCGACATGTTTGGAACAGAGAAATGTTAATTATTGTCTAATTTATCTAATTGGATAAGACTCAAACTATCTATAAATCTGGGGCCCGCTGTCGGAAACATCGTAAAGTTAATGCTAATGTTAATGCTACGATAACACTTACGACTAATGTTAATGCTACGAGAGTAACGTTGACAGAAACACATCGTAGCTACGAGCAAACTCACGATAACAGGAACTTCATAATTTCATGTCACAAGGCTGCTGATTGGATAAGAATCGATCACAAAATTCAAATTCATACACATTTATTGTACATCACAGTAATATATGCATATTAGAACGGCTAACCACATATAAATAATATTTGATGAAAAACGACGCGGTCATGAATTTATTCTGCACAACAAGACAAATTCTCACACTATAACACGAGACGCGAGAGTCGTGGCAAAGTGGAAAAGTAGTTAAAACAAGAGAACAAATGCCATAAGCCATTTGTAAATGTATTGTTATGTTTTATAATCGGTAAATAATTAATGATTTTGACGTGTTTTTCAAGAAAAATACACATTTTATTCATTATTATAAAATATAATATTACTATAATTGTAATTCATAGTGTAAATGTGTTATTTTTAACTTAATATTAAAGTTACGAGGGGGTCTGGGCTGATGTAATGTTATAAGGATATTTTCGAAGATTTTTCATTGTTGTAACTTTACTTGTTTTAACTTTTTACGAGTGGAAGTTAATGTTAAGACTAATGTTAAGACTAATTGACTTATTTATTGAATAATTTGTTTCTGACAACGGGCCCCTGGCCACACTACTAATGCCCTGCGAAGGAGCCGTGAGAGATAATGTATCCGTGCAAGTCGCCTGCATAAGTGTGCACCGCGAGTCTCTCTCTCTCTCTTTTTTTCTCTCTCTCTCTCTCTCTCTCTCTCTCTTTCTCTATCTCTCTCTCTCTACTCTCTTCTCTCTCTCCTCTCCTGTCTCCTCTCTCGTCTCTCTCTCTCTCTCCCCTTCTCTCTCGCTCTCTTCTTAGTCTCCCCTCGCTCTTCGCTCTCTCTCTCTCTCTCTCTTCTCTGCCTGCTCGCCCCTCTCGCTCTTACTTTCACTCTCTCTCTTCTCTTGTCGTTTCTCTCTCTCTCTCTCTCCTCCTCTCTTTCTCTCCTCTCCTCTCTCTATTTCTCTCTGGCTCGCTCGCTCTCTCGAGCGTTGCGCTCTCACCTCGCTGAGATCGCGCTCTCTCTGCTCCTCTCCTCTCGCTCTCTCCTCTCTTCTACTCTCCTCGTCTCAGTCTCTCTCTCTCTGTCTCTATTCTCTCTTGCTCGCTCGCTCACTTCGCGCGCGCTGTCCTTTTCTTTTCTCCTTTGGTTCGCGCTTTCTCTCTCACTCCGCCTATCGTTCGTCTCGTTGTACGCGGAGGGCAGTGGCGGTGACTTCGCACGAGAGAAAAATATACATTGAAATAAACGCCGTCACGCACATCCATACTTAGCCCCTTGACTTGCACGCGACTCGTTCGCGATGCTGATATCGACTTGGTTCCACGAAGGCAGAAAAATAGGCTAATCCTGGTCTATCTGAAGCGCGGCCACCTGACTCCAGTCAGTAGCGAGGCGAGCCGCGGAACGTGGCTGCCGCAGCCTCGACGCGGTTGGCCTTCAATCGCGATCGATCGTAAAGAAGATCTATCCGTCTTCTTCATCAGAATCTAATTTGAACGACGACACGCGAGCGCTCGGAACAGTGGGTTCATTTTCAGCGAATCTAAATTTCAGCCAGATAATGCAGCCTCTTTAGTATGCCATCAACGATGGATA